AAGGGGTTAAAACACCTTCAGCCATTTATCTTAATCCAGTGCCGGGCTCCCTCGGCGCTGGTGAACTCTCCTCCCCCGCCGACATCAGCTCCCGAGTGGCCTTTCTCAATGCCTTCCTATGGACGTTCTGCAAGCTGGATGCGATTTTTGCATCTGGAGGGTTAAAATCTGGGGGAGCTGGCACCCAGACCATTGAGCTGAAGTGGTCTGGGTGACTATAGTGTCCCTTTAAATACCCTGGGTTGTCTACTTTTACAAATGGTATGCCAAGATGGGAAATATAAGACAGATATCGCACTAGCGAACCCTAGAGCCAAAATAAATTTAGTATTTTTCTGCAGAAAACACCAATATGAAGCGAAATCGACCAAGCGGGTCTCAGCAACAAAAAATTAAGAAGGCAAAAGAAAAGTCAGCTGAGGCGATGTCTGGATCAATTTTAAAATATGTTGCACCTTCAACATCTACCGCAGTAGGAGAAAGCGCTGAAGACATTCAGTCTGTTGAATCCAGAGATGAAATGCCTGAAGTATCTTCTCAAGACGCTTCATATGGGAAAGCGCAAGAATTGGAGAAGATCATTTTATCTTCAAGCGGTGAAAGTGATGTAGATGAAGGCGATGCCAGCAGAAGCCTGCATCAGCAAGACTCTGATGATGATGATGATGATGAAGAAGAAGAAGAGGAGACTGTTCGACTGTCAGTTTATTCTGATGTTGCTGCTTGGCCAGTTCCAGTTCCAGATGTTTTAAGAGTGGACCTTATTAAGAGGGGAAGTGAACCTTTCCAAAATAGAGATGGGCCATTCAGTCCTGTTGAAAGGCAAGGAGAGAAATCAAAAGGGAAGAGTCGACAGTTGACCACTGTATGGTTCTATAAGGCTCTGCCTAATGGCGAAAAAATTCTTAGAACGTGGATGGTGTACTCTCCATCAAAACAAAGTTTGTTTTGTTTTTGCTGCAGACTTTTTGCTGTTGATGACAAAGTAACAGGGGCATCCAGTTTTGTTACTGTGTTTCAATTGTGGTGGAAGCTGAACCCAAAGGTGTCTGATCATGAGGCTTCTGAGCAGCATCTTACATGCTTGGAGAAATGGAAGACCTTGAGAGCAGGATTGAAGCTACAAAAATGCATTGATCATGTCCATCAAACAACAGTGGACAGAGAGAAAAGGAAATGGAGGGATATTTTGCATTGCCTTTTGGATGTAACTTTGTTTCTGGCTCACCAGAATCTTCCCTTTCGTGGTCATAGAGAAACCATGTCATCCGCAAACAAAGGCAACTTCCTCGAATTGGTAGAATTGCTCTCAAACTATGATCCCATTTTAAAGGAACATTTCATGAGGCTGAAACATGCTGTTGCATCTGTAAAGAGAATGACTTCCTATTTCTCTCCAAAAATTCAGAACGAATTAATTTGTCTTTTGGGAAATCATGTGAAGGACAAAATAGTAGCTGATATCAAGAAAGCAAAGTACTTTGGGATTCTTTTTGACAGCACCCCTGATGTGTCCCACACTGATCAGATGTGTGAAGTGATCAGATATGTTCATATTGAAGGGGACCATGTTGAAGTAAAGGAATCATTCTTGGGGTTCTTTCCTGTTGCTGAAAAGACTGCTGCTGAACTCACAGAAAATATCCTGCAACATCTGGAGGAAGATGGACTAGACTTAATCCTTTGCCGTGGTCAAGGATATGATAATGCTGCAACTATGGCAGGGATTCATGGTGGTGTGCAGGCAAAAATAAAAGAGATTAATCCCAAGGCTTTGTTTATGCCATGTGCTAACCATTCCCTGAACCTATGTGGGGTGCACTCATTTGGAAGTGTTGTTTCCTGTGTGACCTTTTTTGGAACATTGGAGAGAGTGTATTCCTTTTTTTCGGTTTCTACACATCGTTGGGAATTGCTGATGGAAAATGTAGGTGTGACAGTGAAAAGACTTTCCCAAACAAGATGGAGCGCTCATTATGATGCTGTGAAGCCAGTGAGGGCAAATTTTGAAAAACTGACTTCAGCCCTTGAAAAGTTATGTAATCCCAAAGAAAATGTGGACACAAGAGGATCGGCTCAGATGTTGCTGTCTGCCATATGTGATTTTTCTTTTTTGTGTTACCTTTCTTTCTGGTGTGACGTTCTAGAAGAAGTTAATATAACACAGAAATATTTGCAAACTGTGGGACTCACTCTTGAAAAGTGCATTGTGAAACTACAAGGTTTGAAAGCGTTTCTAGCACATCAGCGCAGTGAAATTGTGGAGAAGGCCATTTGTTATGCAACTACTATGTGTAAAGAAATGGACATTTCAATGGAAAGAAGAGGGAGAGTAAAGCTCCGTAAAACAATGCCAGGAGAGAAGGCAAAGGACGCTGGTCTCACATTGCCAGAGGAAATGAAAAGGGCTATGTTTGAGTGCCTTGATCGTTTTCATCACGAGTTGGAAATTCGTTCTCAGGCAATTGAAAAAATCCTTTCAATGTTTGCTGTTATTCAGCCAAGCTCTCTGGTTGTGGCAACAGAGAAAGATATTTGTAATTATACTCCAAAATTGACTGAGATTTTTGACGAATTCTCTAATGAAGACATCTTTAGGGAAATCGAACGTCTTCGGAGGCATTTGGAAGCTGCCAAGATCAGTGTTGAAGAAGCAAAGAAATGGACGGCATTACAGTTCCTGGAGTTCATTGTTAAATGGGATTATTGTGAATCTCTGCCAAATTTGTCACTGTGTTTAAGATTCTTTTTGACTCTCTGTGTGTCTATTGCTTCATGTGAAAGAAGTTTTTCCAAATTAAAATTGATAAAAAATGTCTTTCGCTCAACCATGAGTGAGACAAGGTTGACAAATCTGGCTATACTTTCAATTGAGCATGAATATGCAAGGAAGATTGGCTTTGATGAAGTAATTGATAAATTTGCAGAAATTAAGGCTCGAAGGCAGCGGATGTGAATCATTGCACATTACCTCTGCCGAATAGACTGAGTGGTCACTTTGGATCTGTGTGTTTTTTTTGTTTATAGAAAGCGTATTAACTGTTAAGTAAATGTTAATTATTTAAATTTTATTTATTTCTAAGTTAATTTATTTTTCAAGTTCATATACAGTTTACAAATTTGTGAAATAAATATTATTGAAAACATTGAAAAAATTGTGGGTGTTTTCTTACATTTTTATTATGGGGGGTGGGGGGGGGGGGGGGTGCCACACTCTGGGTCCGCCCCGGGTGCCAAATGCTCTAGGTACGCCACTGCCCACCATGTCTATTTGCTGTCTCTCTCAATACCCTTCATATTGTGTTTTTATACCCCACCTCCTCTAGACTGTAAGCTCGTTTGGGCAGGGTCCTCAACTACCTATTGTCCCTGTTAAATTTTGTTATTGTCTCATTTGGTAAATTCCCCTTTTATTGTAAAGCGTTGCAGAATAAGCTGGCGCTATATAAATACCAATAATAATAATAATGATAGTAATAATGTGTGCTTGGTGAGCGGCAACATACTTTTTTCAACAATATTTTGCAGTTCTACAATTTTCTGAAAAAAGTGAGCATTCTTGAAGGTTTTTTTTTAGATTGCTCCACAGTTAGCATATGGTACAGGTGATTAACATGTTGTAGATAACTATTTGATGATTATAGGACTCAGTTGTTCTTACAAGTCTGTGTTTATTTTCATTTTTTACCTTTTTCCTCCCTGTCCATTAAACCTGTAATTAGGAGCCATTTATCTATGCTGAGCTGTCATCACAGAGAGCTCCGTAATGGAATTATTCATTGTCAAAAGAATGTTTAAATAACAATCACACATTTTAAGAAAAATGCTGAACTTGCAGAAGGTCAAAGTAGAGGTCAAGATCAACTGAACCTGTCCCATTTATTTCATTGGTTATAGGCAGCTTTCTAAGTCAAATGGAGTCACCTACTTGTAGACACACTGTATTGTCCGCCACTTATCTGTAATACATGTACTGTATGTTAGACTCATGCAGGATAACGTGTATGAATGTTTTTACAATGTATTTCATTGGTACGTTGAATTATGTGAGAGAAATTTATTCTGTTCATATACAAACACAAAGATAAAGCACCGCGCTTACAGCAGCAGCAGCTTAGTATCCAACAGCTTAAAATACATAGTAAAAACAAAGAGAACGTTACCTGCGCTCTGGCCTAAATCCCTTTAATGTACATTTAAACAAAATGGAGGCTCTTTAGTTTTATTCCAATGGCCATTTGAATATATAAGCTCACCTGCCACGTCAAGGCAAGCCTCAATAGGTGAGTTCCTACACTGGTCGTTAGATATGCTGATATCAGCCAAGAATCTCCAGTAAGACAGGAAGGGGTATTTTATAAACCCTTTCACATTTAACCCTTTATAGGGCTCTTACACATACAATAAACTTTGCTGGTATCAGACAAAGTGTAAACATCTCTAATGAGAATCAGTTTCATAATATCCAACATAAATCTTGTGTTGATTGATGCACCCATGCTAGTAATTAATTTCTCTTTAGAATTCTGCTTAGAAATTCATCTGAACAATTAGAGGGTTATTCACCAAACAGTCAATTATGATGAACTCAAAATTAAATTGCAAAGAGCAAAATTATCTAATTATATTGTTACAATGGCACCTGTCAGGGGTGGGATATATTAGGCAGTATGTGATCAGTCAGTTCTTGAATTTCATGATTTGGAAGCAGGAACAATGGGCAAGCGAAAAGATCTGAGTGATTTAGACATGGGCCAAATAGTGATGGCTAAATGACTGGGTCAGAGATTCTCCAAAATGGCAAGTCTTATGGGGTGTTCCTGGTATGCAGTAGTTAGTACCTAACAAAAGTGATGCAAGGAAGGACAACTGATGCCAGGGCATTTACATGGATGTCATTTTGACACGTATCACCTACCTAGAGATTGTTGCAGACCACATACACCCCTTCATGTCTGTGGTATCCCCTGATGGCAATGACCTCTCTCAGCAGGATTGCACACCCTACCACACTGCAAACATTGATAATATTATTATGTTATTATTTATATAACGCCAATTAAATTCCGCAGCGCTTTATAGTGGGTGGACAAACAAACATGCAGTTGTAACCAGACAAGTTGGACACACAGGAACAGAGGAGTTGAGGGTCCTGCTCAATGAGCTTACATGCTAGAGGGAGTGGGGTAAAGTGACACAAAAGGTAAGGATAGTATTAAACTAATCACAGTTGCAAGAGAGGAATCAGTCGGGAGCTATTAACAGTTTAATTGATACGCTTTTATGAAGAAGTGGGTTTTTAATGATTTTTTGAAGGATTGGAGACTGGGTGAGCATTTAACGGAGGAGGGAAGTGAGTTCCACAGTCTTGAAGGCGAGCATCAGAGGTGGGAGTACGGACAGAAGATAGACGTAAGTCTTCAGCAGAGTGTAACGGCCTAGACGGGACATACTTGTGTATTAGGGAGGATAGATATGTGAGAGCAGCATTATGTAGAGATTTGACAGCAAGAACCAGAATTTTAAATTGAGCCTTATATCTTACAGGAAGCCAATGTAGGGACTGACAGAAGGGTGAGGCGTGGGAGGTGCGGGCGGACAGGAAGATGAGCCTTGCCGCCGCATTCATTATGGACTGTAACGGCGCAGGTTGAGAGCACGTAAGACCAATGAGAAGCGGATTACAGTAGTCAAGGCGAGAAAGGACAGTGGAATGGACCAGCACCGTAGTCACTTCTGGCGTTAATTAGGGTCGGATGCACGCAATGTTTTTGAGATGGAAGCGGCAGGATTTGGTGATAGACTGAACATGAGGCATGAAAGAGAGGTCGGAGTCAAAGAGAACACCTAGGCAGCGAGCCTGCGTGGTGGAGCTAATGGTAGCACAGTTGACTTGGAAGGAGATAGACACAGGAGTAGCAACACTTAAGGGAGGAAAGACCAAAATTTCAGTTTTGGTGAAGTTGAGTTTAAGGAAGTGGGCAGCCATCCAGTTAGAAATAGCAGAGAGGCAGTGAGAGACCCTAGTCAAGAGGGACGGGGAGAGATCAGGAAAGGAGAGATAGATTTGCGTGCCATCTGCATAGAAATGATATTGGAAGCCAAAGGAGCTAATGAGTTTACCAAGGGAGGCAATATAGATAGAGAAGAGTAGGGAACCAAGGACTGAACCTTGGGGCACACCAACAGAGAGGAGTTGGGGAAAAGAAGTAGAGTCAGAGAAAGAAACACTGAAAGAGCGCTGGGAGAGGTAGGAGGAGCACCAGTAGAGAGCAATATCTTGCAGACCGATATTGCAGAGGATGAGAAGAAGCTGTTGGTGATCAACAGTGTCAAAAGCCGCAGGCAGGTCAAGGAGAATTAGGATAGAGTAGTGACTATGAGATTTTGCAGCGAGCAGATCATTGGATACTTTGGTCACAGCTCTTTCAACAGAGTGACAAGCGCGGAATCCAGACTAAAGCGGGTCTAGCAGAGAGTTGGACTGGAGGAAGTCTGTCAATCTTGCATACACAACTCTTTCAAGGAATCTTGGATGCAAAAGGCAGTAGCGAGATAGGACATTAGTTGGACATGGAGTTAGGGTCAAGGTTGAGCTTCTTTAGAATTGGAGTTACAGTTGCATGTTTGAAGGGTGATGGAAATATACCAGAGGAGAGAGAGAAATTGAGAATTTTAGTGAGAGGTAAAAAAAGAGAAGAAGACAAAGTACGGATGAGATGCAAGGGAATTGGATCTAGGAAGCAGGTGGTGAGGTGGGAGAACTGGAGCAGAGCAGAAACCTCTTGCGCTGTAGCAGGTGCGAATGAACATAGAACAGCAGAGGGAGTGAGGTTAGGGGAAGTATTGTAAGGGGAAGAAGAAAGATGAGAGATCTCTTGTTCAGTAATGGTTTGAGGAACATGACAAAGAGTTCAAGGTGTTGCCTTGGCATCCAAATTCCCCAGATCTCAAGATCTGTGGGATCAGCTTCTAACAACAAATCAGATCCATCGCTGCCACACCTCACAATGTGCAGGACTTAAAGAATCTGCTACTGATGTCTTGGTGCCAGATACCACAGGACACTTGCAGATGTCTTGTGAAGTCCATACCTCGATGCAACAGAGCTGTTTTGACTGCACAAGAGGTACCTACAGGCTCTAAGGCAGGGGGTTTTAGTGTTGTGGACTACCAGGTTTTTTTATTTGCCCTAAATTGTGCACTTTGGACTCAAACTAATATTTTTGGATAAACTATCATTTCAATATACCAAAATTTATATTTAAATCTTCTTCAGGATATGAAATTATTTAAAAGTTTAGCCAAAAATATTAAATCATTTGAATAGCTAATCCAAATATATAAAGTTGAGGCCTTTGTGTATGAAGTCTATAATTTACCATTATTCTCTCTTATTGAATATACCCTTTAGGATATTAACCGGTGTATATTTTGCTGTATACAATTGCACAACATATAATTTCATATTTTTCCACTTTCATTCTTTACGGCTAAAGTAACTCTAAATATAAATTAAGAAACTAAAATACTAAATTGTGTGTTTACCATAATTGAAAATACTAAATTAAATTTTATGCATACACCCACATTTTGTACATAGGAATGCTGAAGAAATTCAAAGTTTTGATTGGATGCTGGTCGCTCATGTCCTCAGTAGTTTTTTTTTAATTATTATTATTAATTATGACGGACACACAATAGATTAATCATTTAGGCACAATGCAAGATGGTACACTGAAAAATTGATCCAGACCGCTTGGATTGAATAAATAAAATGTTGTTTTAGACTGATTTATGTTGATATTTTTGTTTCATAGTTCCAAAAATGGTTAAGTCTTTCCTGCAACTTCAGATCTGTTTATTGGTAGAAGATATAACAATTAAATATTTGCTCTGTGTTTTAATATATTTGTTGATACTCATACTGTTAATTTGTCTGTACAGGCGGCACAT